AGGGAGGGAAAAGGAGAGGGAGGGGGAGAGAGAGAGGGAGAGAGAGACAGAGAGAGACAGAGAGATTGATTTTGCATGGCAATGTGTCAACCATCCAAAGAGTCACAGTGATGCCTGGGGCCTGTCCTCATTTACAAGCCCTTTGGGGGCCTTGAAGGTCTAGGTGAATTTGGTGAGCATCTCAGAGACCTCTGGAAAGGCCAGAGGGAAAAGGAGAGGGAGGGGGAGAGAGAGAGGGAGAGAGAGACAGAGAGAGACAGAGAGATTGATTTTGCATGGCAATGTGTCAACCATCCAAAGAGTCACAGTGATGCCTGGGGCCTGTCCTCATTTACAAGCCCTTTGGGGGCCTTGAAGGTCTAGGTGAATTTGGTGAGCATCTCAGAGACCTCTGGAAAGGCCAACTCTATGCAGCTGAGCTGGCTTCACTTGCGTGTGCTCACCCAAGTCACATCTAGGCTGAAAGCACATGCGTAGTAAAAGAGATGCCTGCTCCCAAGATGGATCTTTTCGAGGACAGTTCTAAACCCCAAGAATCTGAAATGCCTTGCTTCAATGAGGGTCATAAATCTCTGCTACATGAACAAGACTCTCTCTGCATCATATGCCAGATGCCAACTCTTAAAAACAAGGTTGACATAAAAGTGAGGAAAAAAAAGAGCCAGGCCAAGCAGGGGAAAGGTGTCTTTGAGCTAGAAAACCTGGGCTCAGTTCAGGAGGGCACTGCAAGTGGGAGATGGCTTCCTGGGGTAATGAGTTACCCCTGGAGGGAGGCTTGTCAATCTGCAAAGCAGCATCCAGGCGCACCCAAGTGCAGCTCCTCTGAGGTCTGAAACAATGCAGTTTTCGAAGGGTCCTCGTTGCCACTTTCCCTCCACCTGATGGAGATCCCCCCACACTATTCCTGCCTGGTAACAGGGATCCAGTCCTTGTGCCCCACCCTCTGGATTAAAGCTGTGAAGGGGGAGGGGCAGGGGAAAGAGTCTGCGTCACTGCTGTGCTTCTGGCTGACTCACTGTGGGCAGGGAGGCGAGGAAGGAAGGGAGAGTGCATGCACATATGATTGGACATGTCTGCGTATGCACAGGAGCAGCGGATAGCCCTGGCAAGTCAGCCACTGGCAAGTGGGCCACAAGGCAACGCACATTTATTCATGGCTTCTCTGTTTCAGCAAAAATTGTGCAAATGAAGCTGTAGTTCAGAAGATTTTGGACAGAGTGCTGTCGACATATGATGTCCGACTGAGACCAAATTTTGGAGGTAAGCCGTATCCAGACACCAGAGGCTTTTGTGTTAAATGGAATAGAGCCAGCCCCACCCTGTAAGCTAACAAGTCTCTCTACTTCTCCCCTCCAAGCCCCACTTTCTTGAGCCTGCTGAACGGTGCAAGAGAGCACCCCCAGAGTCCCAACCACAGGCCTTCTGCTCTTTCCCCGGAATGTACCTCACTTCCCTCTCTTTCTATGAAGAGACCCTCATCCTCTTCCAAAATCCAGGCTATTTAAGCACACTTGCCACCTTTAAACAGTTCAGAGTTCAGAACTGACGCTGTGGTCTTCTCTGCCTTTGCTGCCTAACCAACCTGGGCCTGGGACCCTTCCATCATGTTCCACTTTCTTAAACCTTCAGATCTCACCAAATTTAGTCCATCCAACACACTGTACTACATCCTTGTGATCTTCACAAAATCCAGCCTGATGATCACTGCCAAATAAAGTCCAGATGCCTCTCAGCCTTGGGTTCAGATCTTAAACAGTAAGATGGCAACTGACAAAGAGATTGATGCACGAACCTACAAGAAACTCTCTGCTTATCCCAGACCATACAACTTTAAGGTCACCCACCCTGACCCCACACAACAGGAGTATCATTCCTTGGCCCAGGGGATACCCAAGAAACCCCAAACCAAGAACAGACAAAAGAAAAAGTGCTTTAAGTAGGGATAAGTTACTTTTCAGTTCGAAGATAGCAGGACAACCCTGTATGGTGACACACACCTTTAATCCCAGCACTCAGGAGGCAGAAGGAGGTGGATCTGTCTGAGTTCAAGGGTAACCTGGTCTACATAAGGAGTTCCAGGCCAGCCAGGGCTGCACAGTGATGAAAAAACAAAAAAGATAGCAGAACGAGCTACAAAGCAGGAAAGCTTCCTACAGGATGGGACCCAGTCTATAGGCCTAGAGTCTGCTAATGTTTCACATTTGTGTCTTGTAAAAGCACTGACCCAAGCACACTGACGGGAGCATTTGGCTGCAGCAGTAGACCCTTGAGACACCATGTGTGGCCTGAGGACCCATCTTGACACTGGCGCTTCCCTTTTCCTCCACTGCTCCCTCCCAGAGTGTGAAGGCAGAAGCCATGGGCCAAGGGATCCAAGGTGAACATGCACAGGTAGCAGGATTGGAAAAAGCAGAAAGCACACAATTCCAATGGCTGTACACTGCCAAGGCCAGGGTGGCAGCACTGTTTCTGCATGGATCCCCAAGGGAAGGGGGGAGCACATGGAAATTCAAGTGGTAAAGTATAGCTAGTATCCCTTCCTTGTCACTGGTCTTAGACCCACTTGTGTAAAGCCCCAAAGGGTGACAGGAAATAGATGTTTCTTTCCTGTTTGTCTCCTTCTCATTCTCCGTTCATCATCAAAGGCTAAACAAGAACCATTTGCTCCCACTGAACACACTCTCCCCACCATTTTAGGCCCAGGCTGCCATCTTTACAGGGCTCCAAAACTAAGGCAAAGGAACAGAGGCAAGAATGTGTCTCTGGGAACTGTCCAGCACAGTTCACAGTAGGCTTAAGGCCCCTTACTACCATCTTTCAAGAGAAGGTTACACTAGGTTTTATGAACAAGCCAAGGTAGAGCTTCTGATAAAATATGGATCCCTGTACCGATGTGGTCAAACAGTAGATGAAGGTGAGAGGGCAAAAGAACTTGGGAATACCAATCATTTCATACACTGCAGTGTATACAGCTGGGACACCAGTATAGGAGGAGTAGGATAGAGAGCTGAGCATTCGAGGTTTGGGTAATCCAGGGCTCCTTGTTCAGCCTTCAACTAGACATAGAGTCTTCTCTGTATTTAAGGTGGAATCCAGTATTATGGATTAATTGCCACACACAAGAATGCGTGCTCTCTTCTCTCTCTCTCTCTCTCTCTCTCTCTCTCTCTCTCTCTCTCTCTCTCAGAGAGATCGGGGCTTAGCAATCTATTCTATACTACATTTCAGTGCCCACTTCCATTTCAGCCAGGAGCCCTTGGGCAGGTTTCTGTCCTGGCCTTTTAGTTCCATGGCATTCATCATAAACAAGAGCAATGTCCGAATGGTGTGGAATGGTCTAGAGAAGCCTGTCCTTGGAGGAAGGGGCTGGCAGCCAGGCCTCTCTGGGGTTTGTTGCCTGCCTAACACAGCTGCCATCCTCTAAAGACATGGGGGAGCCTACAAAGCAGCAATCAAACACAGTGTTTCTAGAGACCCCTGTCACTACATAGCACTTTCCTGGGGCTTGTTCACAATAGCCCTGAGTGCTGGAGTCTGAGCTGTGCCCTAGCGGAGCCCCATTTACTTCTCAGCTGCCATTCATACGCTTTATTCCCCAGAGCACTTTGCTCTTTGAAGCGCTGGGCTTGGAATAACACATTTCCTTCTCTTCGGCTCAGCTTCTAGGCAATCAGCCTTCAGTGAAACCAGCAGGTGGAATTACAGGCATCATGTGTGTTTCCCTAGCAGCAGTGTGATGTAATACACTTAGCCATAAGCTGACGAGATAATAATAAAAGTGTGTTTCTCCATACACTGTCCAGTTTTACTGTTGTCACATTCATGATCATATTTCAGTCTTACCAGTGGGCTCTGCTCACACTACCCAGGTCAGGAAGAAAAAAACATTGGGAGTCAGAAGAATTCTGATGAGACATTCATACACTCTGTCACAGTCACAAAGATACCCGTTCACATACACATACACAATCATGACCATACACTCACTTAAATTCACATATCAACACACACAAACATGACCTAAACTCACACATTAACACACATGAAAAATAACCACACATTTATACATATATAAATATATGCTCATAGAAATGATCATACAAATTCATTTATACGTCTGACTATGCACATTAAGTCATAAAACATGCTCATGCATGCACACAATCAGGCACTTACATATGAGCACACTCAGACATATCAACATGCCCGTATATCCAAAACACTAGCAAATTTACATACATTAATACCCTTACACCAAATATGCTCTCACACACTGACATACCCATTCCCTCAAAAATATGCCCACATACCGGAACATACTCAAATTCACTAACACACAAACACATCCACTTTAACACAAACATGCTCATACATGTGACTAAAAACACACATACATTAACTCAAAAGCATGAAAATGCACATTAGCATGCTCACAAGCCCATGCTTACAGCTTCACACATGACCGTGATCACAAAAAATACATATTCACTCACACACACAAACATTCACTGAAAAGATGGAAATGGGCACATATTCACTCAAATGCACATACACATTAAGATGCTTGCACACAAACAGGCTTTTGCATTCATTCACACATGAACATGCTAACATGTTCTCATACACATAAACATGAAGACATCACACAATGTGCAAGCATGCTCATTTACATGCATGTTAACACATCCAGTTCAGACAGATTATCATAGTCATTCATTCACACAGTGACATGCTCACAAATCACTAACATGAATAAACTTCCAGAGATACACATACTCAAATAGATTTACTCACATACAGATATGCTCATACATTCCGTGACTCAGAACCTTCTCACACATTCATTGCTCCCCTGCACCCCAACAGCACACTCTCATATGTTCACATTTACTCTCATATTAGTGATATGTTCACATGGTCACTGCTATAAAAACACAGATTCATACATGCCAAAAAAATTCATTCATACACACAGGCAAGCTCACAAACACCACATAGGAGCACACACAATCACACATTCACTTCCATATACCATGTCTACATGCTTGTGTATGCTTGCACATGTACTCTCACATAACATACTGAAATAAGCACGTTTGCACATTCCTTCACATAAGAGCACAAACTCATTCATGTAATGCAGAGGTAAGCTCACAAACACACATGTTCACATATCCATTTGTACACAAATATACATAGTCACACATATATTCACTTGCAGTTAAACTCACTCATACATTTTCTCCCATACAACACACAGGATCAAATAAACATGCCCCACACTCACTTATACATATACTTACACTCACAAATTCAGTAGCAAATATGGACATCCTGTTTCAGTCACACAAAACCGTGCATCTCAGTTCTTGTTTGTGGGCTCACTGAGTTTCAGTTGTCTATGAGAAAACAATTACCAAAAGAGTGCTCTATGTTGCATTTTCTTTCTATGATGCCCTTACCCCTTCCTTTCAGCACATCTTGAGCCAGGCCTTGCTCTAAGTGCTTGTCGTGCATTCACTATGGGATCAGTGCTGTCATTATCCCCATTTTACCTATGGAAAAGATTAGGTGACTTACTCAAGGCCATACAACTAGCAAACAACCAAACAGGTTTCAACCTGGGCAAGTATCTCCTGAGGACAGACTATTAAGCTTTATCCAAATTCTCCTATAATCATATCTTCCTGTATTACAGGTGCTCCTGTGCCTGTGTCGGTATCTATCTATGTGTCCAGTATTGAACAAATTTCAGAAATAAATATGGTATGTATCTTGATTCCAGCCATGGTACTGGAGACTAGGGGCAAGGGACAAGAGGCATAGTCATAAGCTAACTCTAATTATTCCAACCTGTGATTTAGTTTATAAGACACATAAATTAGAAACCATACAAATACTGGCAATTTCAATTATATTAAAATTCTGTGTAGCCAAAACTTCTGTAACTTCAGTTTCACAAAAAAAACCACTGTGATATGTGAAATGATAATTCAGAGTAGACTAAGATATTTGCAACACAAAGAACCAACATTCAAAATATACAGAATTTGTGCAGACTAATGAGAATATTTTAAATATTTTTTTATTTTATTATTTTTATTTTATGTGTATACGTGTATTGCCTGCGTGTAAGTAAGTGCACCCATGTCGTGCAGTGCCCGTGGAGGTCAGAAGAGGCTGTCAGATCCCCTTGGACTGGAGTTACAGACAGTTGTTAGCTGCCATGTGGGTGCTGAGATTTGAACCTGGGTCTTCTGCAAGAACAACCAGTGTTCTTAACCGCTGAGCCATCTCTCCAGCCCCATTTTTAAAACCAATTGAAAAATGACCAACAAATGTGAACAAGAATTTTATTCATTTGACAAAAAAACTAATTAGCAGATGAACATATAAAAAGATGCTTGACCTTGTTAGTAGTCAGAGAAATGCAAAATGAACTCACAATGAGAGCCCATTATGTATTTAGCAGATGGCCCATATCGGAAGTCAGACATTGCCCATATGGGTGAGGCGGACACAATGGCAACCCTCACCTGCTCTTGACTCATAGCAAGGACACAAACTGCCACTTTCACTTTGTCATTCCAGCTTCCTGGTTTGGGGATATATATGGATGGTGCTTTTACATGGTTATATACATTGTGTGTTCATATATAGAAATATCCTCCAAGAATGCAGAAGAGCAACGTGAATGGGCATCGCAAATATAATGCTGAGTAAAAGAAACGAGTCGCAAGCACATGCACTTTGACTCCAATTGGACAAAATTCAAAACAGAAGTCCAACCAAGATTTAGTTTTCTAGAAACATACATGTAAACAATAAAACTGTAACCCATAGCATGGGAAGTACTATCAAAATCTTGAACAATATTCACTCATAGGGGTGGGAGAAATATGTTTTGAAAAGGACATTGTAACTTTAAAGTAACTGGTCATGTTTCGTAACTTGGGTATTAATTATAGAAGGTTCTTTTTCCATCCTTTCTTAAGCATGTTTATGTTTTGTACACACATCTATACATGTTTCATACTGTTGTATACATGTGATAAATGTATACAGAGGTCAGAGAGCTGGACAAAACTAAATTATAATTCAGATTTACCTGTTCCTCTCCAGGACTATACAATCACCTTGTTTCTGCATCAGACCTGGAAGGATACACGTTTAGCATACAATGAGACCAACCTGAACCTGACCCTGGACTATCAGATGTACAAGAAGTTATGGGTCCCCGACTGCTACTTTGTGAATAGCAAAGATGCTTTTGTTCATGATGTAACTGTAGAGAATCGTGTGTTTCAGCTTCAGCCAGATGGGACAGTGCGATACGGCATCCGGTGAGACCCCCTAAGAGCCTGGGAATGTCTTAGAGAGCTTTCGACTTCCTACTGTTATACCACAAACACATTCTCAACAACACACAGGTGTTCCTTTGCAAATCTACCTTGCACACACACCTTCAGAGTTTGCCACACACATCTCAGTGTGCCCTGGCTCCACACCTTCCATTCTACTGTGCTACAGTGGCCCTTTCTCCTTCCCCATGAATTGAAACCTTGCTCATTTTCCAGTCCCTGATACAAATTCTTTCTTGTTCAAGAAATCCCTATTCCCTAGTCCAAACGACCTCTTTCTCCAACTTAGTTTCTGTGTGTGTTTTATCATTTATTTCCCATTCTGTGAGGCAGGGAAACTACTGCCCTTCCTTAAGTGTGCATCAAGCAGGAGGTCAGGAGAGGACAGAAGCCGATGCAGTGGGAAGGTGTGAATGGGGCCTGGGCTCCAGGTCTCTCTACACACACGGAACACATGCGCACCGGCAGTCTTCACTCATCTATTTGCATTAGAGCAGGCAGTCACCAAGGCTGGCTTCACAGTGTCAGCTCGAACAAATGATCTCTAAAGACAAGCTGAGAGGTCAGCTTAGCTCAGAAAATGTTTCCCATTGGTAGCTACCACAATTGGCCTGAAAGACTGTTACGTGTCTACTCGTTGGGTTTCTTAGTCTGGGGTGCTGTCAGCCTATTCCTTTCTTCTTCATCCGCATTCCCATGGAATCAAGAGACTACTAATGCTTGCATAGGGCTGAACGATAATCAATCACACTTACTTCAATTAAAGGGCCATTGACTGATGAATAACACCTGAGAAATTCAGTCAAAGGCCGTAAGCACACACACATCTATGCACTAGCTGCTATCCAGTGCCCCAAATGAAACTCCCACAAGGATTGGCAGGGTCTGTCCTAGCAAGTAGAAGGAGAAGAAAAAGAGGTGGAACAGAAACCAAGCAGAGGAGAGCTTTGGCTGCTTTGCCCTTTTCAACACAGATCACCTCCCTGGCTTCCCTAAAGTCATGACTCATGTTCCTTTCATGGATGCACAACATGGCAAGTTAATGCTCCTGTCTGCTTGACCAACTGTCAGCACTGCCCCCACCCTTCATGGATATGCATTTTGTGCCCACTGGCATCTTGCTAGTTCCCATTGCCAGCCACATAGGCCTTCACCACTAATGTGGGTGTAGATATGGCCAGAGCTGGGCCTGGGTCATGGCCCACATCTGTACTTGCACATCACACACCTGTCCTCCCCAGTGGCTATGCAGTCCCAGCAGCTTCCACACAGCGCAGTTTCCTCTCAGCAGCCTTGCTGCTCCTTTAACAAGCGCAAGTCTCCTTTCTGTCTCTGCATTCAGTTTCCTCAAGGGCCCTTCCCATTCCGATGTTCTGCCATTTTCTGACAGGACATACATCTGTTCTTTGTTTCTGCCCTGCCAGATCTTGTGGATGCTTTGTCAAATTCCAATTCTCTCTCTCATCCTTGCACATAGGTCAATCCTCCACCCAACCCTTGCCTCCTCCCCACCCTGTAGAGTCCTAAGGAATGGTTGCCTGCCTGAGCTCAAATCACCTTTTTCACATTCTTTCTTGTTTTCCTTGGCAGACTTACCACAACAGCAGCCTGTTCCCTGGATCTGCAAAAATTCCCTATGGACAAGCAGGCCTGCAAGCTGGAGGTGGAGAGCTGTGCGTATTTCTCCCATGGACCCTTCATGCCTGAAACAGAGAGGAACAGCATGGCTCCTCTGCCCTGCACTCTCACCTGTCTCTCAGATGCATACACGATCAACAGATAAATGTTAGATGAATGATACACGATAGATGGCTGTTGGTAGCTGAATGATAATCAGTGACAGGGAGATATTTATATATGGCATCTGGGAGGAGCTGGTGTTGAGGCTCTAGTCATCCAGTTGGTAAATGGTATTCTGCTTGGAAACCGCATATACTTATGGGTAGAAATCCATCTCTGTTACACATTCCTTCATGACTAAGATACTCCAAAGTGAGAGTCATCTTTCCAAGTGTTCAGACTTACTCTCCCCCTCCATGCTCGCACTCAGCAAGCCACAAAGGAGCCCCCCAAATTGCAAGTTGTAAGCATGGCTTGGTTTTCACAGACTTCTGTGGACTGAAACCTGCCTAGACTTACTCTTCATTTCCCCTCCTAGATGGTTACACAGTAGAAGACATCATGTTATCCTGGGAAGACAGTGAGAATGCCATCCACATGACTGATGAGCTGCAGATCCCTCAGTATACCTTCCTGGGGCAGACAATTACTAGCAAGGAGGTGTACTTCTATACAGGTGGGCCTGAGTCCTTGTTGTCTCTGTTCTTGTCCCGTTTGCACCACTACATGCTCCTGGTCCTGGAGGCGTTAGCCTTTGATCCTTACGCTGGCTGCCTCTTTTCCCATTCCTCTGGTTCTGGATATATCCCAGGCTCCTTTGATAGAACCCTAGTGGCTCCACCCCTACAGATGGGGAATAAGTGTGGGAGCAATAGGCAGGTTTACAACACTCTAGAGCTGGAAAAGATTCCTGCTCATCACCTCCATCTGCTAGCAGCTTGGAAACATCTAACACACAGTGAGTGAACCACATGGGCCTAACAGCAGCGTGTTTCCTTACAGGTTCCTACATGCGCCTAATAGTGAAGTTCCAGGTCCAGAGGGAAGTCCGCAGTTACCTGGTGCAGGTCTACTGGCCCACAGTCCTCACCACCATTCTCTCCTGGATATCATTTTGGATGAACTATGGTTCCTCTGCAGCCAGAGTGACAATTGGTAGGTCCTATCTCCATCTCGGGAGGAAATTTGGATCCGTTTACTCAGAAAAAAAAAAAAAAAAAAAAAAAAAAAAAAAAAAAAAAGTCGAGTTGAGAGTAAGGAGAGTAAAGGGCAAAGCTGCTACCCCGAAGGTGCCTCCACTCCCTTTTTGATATAGACCCAATGGCTTGCTAAGACCTTCAGCCACCAGAGGAGACTAAACCTATTCTGTGTTGTCCCTAGGCTTAACTTCAATCCTCGTCCTGACCACCATCGACTCACATATGCGGGATAAACTTCCCCATATTTCCTGCATCAAGGCCATTGACATCTATATCCTTGTGTGCTTGTTCTTCGTGTTCCTGTCCCTGCTGGAGTATGTCTACATCAACTACCTTTTCTTCAGCCAAGGACCTCGGCGCAATCGCCGGCGACACAGGAGACCCAGAAGAGTTGTTGCCCGCTTCCGCTATGAAGAAGTGGTCGTGCAAAACGTGCAGGTTTGACATTTTGACTGACAGCCAGCTTCCCCTGAGCACATCCTGAGCCTAGGCTTATCACTTGACCCTTCACATCTCATAGTCCTTTAACATTCATGCTCTACTTACATGTAACATACATGTCCAGAGCATACCCACATCACACAACAATGAAGTAGTATTCTTTATAGAAGATCACTGTCTGGTACCACGAGGCCAAAAAGGGTAGGGTGAGATCTCTCCAAATCTTTAAGCCAATTTTACTCCATTTTACTTGAGTCCAGAGAAGGTGATGAAGCCCAGAGGGGAGGGGAGGCACAAGAAGGCTGTCACTTTACACACCAGAGCCCATGTTGAGCCTTTTTGCTTTGGGTTGTACATTAATTTCCAGGAACGTCCCTCCTTTGCAGAAAGTTCAGCCTTTCTTGAAAGACTGCACACAGCACACAGCACTCTTGAGGTAGCAACGGCCCCAGGGAGACAGCTGCTTGGCTACAGCTGACCTTCTCTGCATGCTAAAACAGCCCCTTGGTCCTATTCTTCAGCCCCTCGAGCCGCCCCTCCCCACAGATCCCAAGAGGAGGAGATGGTTTCGTCTGTCAAAGAAGTCAACTAGCATTGCAAACGATGAGGAAAGCCTGTTGCCAGTTTCCTCCCCTATCCATGTCCACTAGGTGATATGAGACAGATGAGCTTATCTTTTCTTTCCCTCCAAGGATGGCCTGATTAATGTGGAAGAGATAGTAGAAGACAGAGCTGGCCCTCTTCCCAACAGCCCCATGCAAGCCCGTCTGGCAAGCCTGGAAAGCCTTGACTCTTTGGCGTCCTCCTCAGAGCCAGCCCAGCTGGCCACCTCGGAAAGCCTGAGCCCAGTCTCTTCCCACTCAGGCCAGGCCCAGCTGGCCACTGGAGAAAGCCTGAGCAATCTCCCCTCCACTTCTCAGCAGAGCCTGCAGGACTGTACCATTCACTTCCATGGCTTTCACACTAACGACAGTATTATCCCTATCAAAATCCACCACTGTGCTGAGGCCCATGGTGATGACGATGCCGAAGACAGCCTGAGTTCAGATGAGAGCCATGGTCATGGCTATGGCCCCAGTGGAAGAAGCATGCCGCCCCATGGCCAGAGGTGTGTGCAGGAAGCAAGCTGGGACCTTGATAAGATTGAGAGCTTACAGGATGACATCAGTGTCAAGAGCAGCTGGCTTGGCCTTGATGAACAATGCAAGGGGGATGCTGACAGTGTCTGGAGCCTTACTGATGAGGAGATCATGGCCTGTGACCAAGAGAAGGACAGTAGCTCAGAGTCTGAGGAGAATTGCCCCCCGAGCCCTGGGTGCTCCTTCAACGAAGGGTTCTCTTTCAGGCTCTTTAAACCTGACCGGGTTCCTAAGGTTGACAGGTGGTCCCGCTTCCTCTTCCCTCTTTCCTTTGGGCTGTTCAACGTGGTTTACTGGCTTTACCACATCTATTAGTTCCCCGTGCCCGACAGCAGCAGAGGTACCATGCTGTGTTCCCTTTACAGTTCGTATGGTTTTGTTTTTGCCTCTTCCCTTTGTTCATTTTATTTGGCAGTTATTTAGGCAATCTGACACATTATTATGAGGTGGGGAGAAGCTGGTGAGAACATGTGGCCAGAGGGGAAGGGACTGAGGAGGACTTGAAGGTACAATGCACAATGATTTCCTTCCTCCTAGCCGAATCCTGCCTTTCAAACATTTTGAACAGTTCATGGGTCTAGAAATGCCCCTAGAAATGTTTAGAGGACAGAGAGGAGCCAGGTTGGGGAACAAAGATCTAAGCCTGATTCAGAAACGTTCCTGGGGGCCTTCTGCTTCCCTTGAAGTGCTGAAATTTCCTATTCTTTACTTCTTTTCTTCCTGGGTGTCAGGCATCTTGTCCACCTGATAAAAAGGGCTTTGTCAGAGAAAGCCAAGCTGAGTTGCCAGCAGTGTGCAGAAGGGTTAGGCACGGTTTCACCATTCTGGGGCCTGGCTAAAGGACAGTTGGGGAGCATTTGTAAGTTCCTTGTGCTCACTATCTAGGGTTGTACTTTGAGTGTGGAGTTGTGCTACAGGAGTGGGAAGGGCAGGTGTGTCGGAGGAGCTGCCGAGGGAGACAGCAGGGTAAGTGAGGAAGCACGTTTCCATTGGGAGTCTGTAGGACAAGAGGGCAGCATTGGGCTGGAGCCTATAGACGTTCAGCTGGTCCCTTTGAAGGGCTTAGGCCTTCTCTTACCTGTATTTCTGCTTCACAGTGCTTGGCAATAGGGACTCAATACTTCTGTCCAGTCAGGAGTTAGCTGTCTATCAATTGGTGAGTTGATCACTAGTTACACTATAAGCACTTGGTAAGTAAGTACTAGTTAAGAAAGTTCAGACTTACTCTTTCACCATTTCGTCTAGAATAGCATATGGACAATTATTATGAATCTATATACTAACCCTTTCTATTTGTCTAGCGCATAGTAAGTGTCAACGATTTCAACCCACCACATCGTTGGATCCTCTTAGGAGCCCTGTGAGCCAGGGAAGAGAAAGCACCTTGTCCCCAGTGTTCCAAGGAAAAAGTGGAGCTTATGTGCCATGCTTAAGGATGCTTGTTCCTTCTTCTCCTCCTAAGTCTCACGTGACGCACTCCCCTACCTCCCCTTCCCTTTGCTGAAGGCAGTGCTCTGACAGAATCTACCTGTCAGACAGCCAAGCTCACTGGACAGCAGCTGGAGACCTCTGCAGGAAGAGGCCACCGACCAGCCACTGAACATGAACTGAACAGGTGGAGAACATGACCCTGGCCAGCCAGCAGGGCTCCTGATGGGAGTAGGATGAACCTGCACTGCAGTCTGCCATCAAGCACCAGCTGACTGATGGAGGTCATGAGGGAGCCTTTCTAAGCACTCAACCTGTGTTCCCCCTTCCTCCATAGGCAGCCTCTCCAGCAGTCCCTTACCCCTTTAAGCTTTCCCACCTTCTCAACTATGCTTCTGTGTTTGTGCATTCTGTGTATCCCTGGGGCTGAATGTGTACTCATCCAGGTAGGTCTATGTCCTAAACCACTTGAGAAGCTGAATAGCACTACATCGGTGTAAATGTATGTTGCTGTTTATGAATGCATCCTTTCGTCGTGTGGATGGATGTGTGGCTGTGTGGATGCAGCTTTGCGAAAGTGTCACTTATGTACATGTGTACTTACATGAACACAAGCAAATATATTCTGTATATATTTGTAGAGTAAGTGTGTGTCCATATTCCTGTGTTTATTGAACTTAGTTAGTATGAAAGTACATACATCAGTAACCATATATATTTCTTATCAGTGATTCTTCTATAAACACCAGGATTCCAGTGGCCTGTTCTGACATGAGGGAAGCCTTATTTAGCTGGACTGATCAACTGTTTTTTTCCCAGTTCCACGGAGCAGGGTCTCTTGGTTCCCATTGATCCTCACTCTCCCTCCACCCATCTCTTCTGTCTCCTGGATAGAAGACCCAGAAGAAATTAGTGCAGTCCAAAGAAGTGCTAATACAGTGCCTTGGGGGTAGGAAGTACTTAATCCACAGGGTAAGCGTTCAGTGCTCAGCATTGTGCTTGGTGCTGTGCCAAAAGACTAACTGGGAATAAAAATACGGTATAGACAGTAGGGTGGGAGAGCCAGAGAACTGGACAGGAGGTGGTATTATGCTTTGAAACATTCATTCCTTTCTTCTTATCACTTTGTGAGCCTGACACATGTGCGGCTTGGTGGCAAGCATGGACAAGCATGCAGTGAAAGGATATGCCCTAAAAATTGGCTTTCAGTGGCTGCATGCTCAAAACAAAGGTTCCTGGGATGGCTGCAGGTGAGACCTGTCGTGCTGGGCCTATTAGAGAATACTTCCGTAGCCCATCCTAATGGCTGCTGGATTCCATCAATAGGCCCCAAACTCCATTGAATTTGGAGCTTGAGAATTTTTCACTTCAACCCGTTCCAGGGAAAGAGTCAGGAGGTGAAAGTAAAAATGAACCCAGGTACTGACTGACTAGATGGGCCCACTGTGTTGTCTCTCCTTGTCTGTACACATAGAAACAGCTACAGCCTCTTAGATATACACGCCCACCCACACATACCCACACCATCACACATGTATATGTACATACATGGGGGACACCCATGCTCATCAGTATATACACAGGCATGCCAAGACACAAAATCAAATCCGCACACACTCACACACACACACACACACACACACACACACACACACACACACACACATACACACACACAATTAAAAACAAAGTTATTGTCAAAATGTCTAAGATTGACTCTTTGGTGTTGGCACCCTGCACAGAGGGTTCCGGTGAAAGGGAGAGTAGTGTGTCCTCATCTAAAGTCAGCTTCCTGGATCCTGAACATTGGCTGCTTATTTGAATTTGGATCTCTATGATCCTGGAGGGGCTTATGAACCCTGTGGTGTCAAGCAGGAAGAAGTGAGAAGTTAGAATGGGAAACTGGGGCAGTGGGAACAAAGAGGCAACAATGCCCAGGAAGGCTTCCCAGTGAAGGAAGGGCAGAGAGGCCAGTTGTAAATATTCACATAACTAGATATAATATATCCTAAAAAGACTTTTGCCCTAACGTGCTGCAACGAGAGCAGTTGAACTCTACTGCGACTCATACTTTGTGACGTTCAGTGTCAAAGTGCTGTGGAGGTTTGGCAATGATTCAGGGTCTTGAATCTTCTGAGCATGCCATGGCTTGGGTATTCTTACATGAAAGTTGCCAGATCTCCCCTTGTTCTGTTCTGTGTGTGGTCTGTTGTCAGCATCCTTGTCGTGCTCTGTCTTCTGCTGTCCCCAGCCTCTCCCCAGCCATGCAGGCAGACCTTCTCTATCTGGCTGCCTATGTATGTCTCCTCCCAAGCCTACCCCCACACCAAGTATCTGTAGAAGTACAGAGCATCTGACCAGTGCTCGTGAGGTTCAGCCAGTCAAAGAGCTTGGGCAGAATGAAGGGCCTCGCTAAGTCTTGCATGGAGCAACCCCACTTTACTACTCCACCCTGTATTTTCTTCCTCTCTTCTTTTCCCCTAGAATCCCTATCCCATGAAGAACACCAGCTGCCTGTCTTTTCAAAGTGTCACTGTGTTGTGGGAATGTGCGATGTGTTGCCTTCTAAGTTCTCTCCCGTTTGATCTGCTACTGTGGGTGCCTTTGTAGAGGGAATAATCTACTGGGTCTTAATGGACTTTGTCCAATATATTCCTACCATTTGTGCCATCACATTAATAGCAAGGCAGCCAAGTCTTTGCATACTTGGAACCGAGTTTTGCTGAGACTGTGACTCTTCCTAATGAGGTTTCCTTACTCTGTATATACAGCAGCTATCCCTTGAAGCTATTAACTACTGAATGCATTCACTAAGCATTCTGCCTGCATGATGCCCTCTGGTAGTAAGCAGGAACATTATAGCTACTCCACAACCCATCATTCAAGGAAACTGACTTGTCCTACTGAAAGTGCATTGTGTTTCTGTTTGCTGTTTAACATCCTGTGATCAATATGAAATATATATTATCAATGTTGGGTTTTAAGGGGAGGGAGGGAAGGGTGTTAAAGTGTCTCTCTGTTACACTAAATTCACAATATGCCAGCTGGTCAGGGTCTCCTTGTGTGGACCTTTATTGCTGTGGGACATTATACCCTACATCATGGCACACTGCATCCCCTGGATCAGTGTTCACCAGCAAAGCGAGAGGTGCCAGAATTTCCCACAGTGTGTGACTTCAGGCAATGCCGGGGGATTCTTCGAATGGAGCCCAAGTAAGTAACATTCTGGAAGTATATGGACTACAGTAAAACTCACTCAAGTCTTCAGCAGTGATGTTGGGCCCAGACAGTAAAAAGCAAGAACAAAGGACTGATAACTGGGCAGCCTGACCTGCAAAGGTCACAGAGCTCCAGAGCCACTTTGAGCTCTCTCGTTAATTCACATTCTTGCATGCAAAAGACCTTGACCAGTCCTGACTTCAGGAAAGAAGGTAAAACATGACGAAGCATAAAATTATGCTTCCAAAGAAATGTACTGAAATAAAAACTTGTAAATAGCGAAAGCAAAATAAAGATTCATAATAGCAAATATGCTGATGGGTCATTGTGTTTCCTGTGTTACGTTGGGAGGTGCTACATAGACAGTGATCTGGGCCAGAAAGTCTCTGGCTTCCATTGCTCTCCAGAGTCTTCAAGAGCAGGAAAGTTAGCAGTATTGCATTTGAAATAGTTCACATGTTTGCACAAGGCGCTCTTAACCATTGGAAACAAAAACTTTAAGACAGAGCAAGTCATTATGGTATCAAAATACAAGATTGACATTTAGTTCTACTTTGTGGGGTGGAAAGAGCAAATAAAGTGGCTTTTATACAGAATAAAATCTTTTTTTAAAGAAAATCTCTGCCAAAGTGGAGAGTCAGAGTAGGGAACAAGAAAGCCCCACGAAGAGGAAAAGGCCATGCTCAGATTAAAAGCACTTCAAAGTCATATTAAAACATCCCACACTTATCAGCACATCTCCAAGCATCTTTTGATGAAAATGTTAGACCTTGAAAGATGAGCCGAAGCCAATGGCTCTTCCTCCATGGCCCTTTTTGTGGCTGAAGCAGACTAGGAGGTTGGAGCAGGGATTGCTATGCTGGTCTGCCCACAGCTCTGAGGTTAGACCTAAAGGATAGAAAACTTTGCTCTCTGGGGTTCTTTCTTTGTGTGTGGGGGGGGGTTATTTGTGTATGTGCACATGTGGGTGTGCATGCATGTGTGCATGGGTGTGTAGAAGCCAGAAGTTGACATTTAATGCCTTCCTTGATTGCTCCTCTATCATATTTTTTAAAGATTTTAATATTTTTATTCTATGTGTATGAGTGTATTGCCTCCACGTGTGTGAGTACACCTGCGTCATCCAATAGCCACAGAAGTCAGAAGAGGGCATCGGATCACCTGGAACTGGAGTTAGGACAGTTGTTAGCTGCCATGTGGTTGCTGGGAATTGAACCCTGGTCCTGTGCAAGGGCAGCCAGTGCTCTTAACCACTGAGCCATCTCTCCAGTCCCTCTATCATATATTTTTTTTTTTTGGTCTTTTTGAGACAGAGTCTCCCTGTAGCCCCAACTGTCCTGGAACTCACTATGTGGACCAGGCTGGCCTCGAACTCACAGAGATCCACCTGCCTCTGCCTCCCAAGTGCTGGGATTAAAGGCGTGCGCCACCACGCCCGGCTTCTCTATGATATTTTTAAGGTAAGCTCTCTCACTGAACCTAAAGTTACTGATTCAGCTGAGTTGGGTGTGTGGTCAGCTCCAGGGATCCACCTGTCTCCACTTCCCCAGCACTGGAATTATAGGCACTTACCACAGGTTCCAGCATTGACTATCTAACAGGCGGAAGTCTCCCTTTCAATTCCTGACAACCTTCCTGTTGCTAAAAGTTTCTCATGGTAACGGCGCACAAGCACCTTAGGGGTCATTTTGTCGGGCACATCTACAGCTTGCCAAGTCAGCTTCTGAAGGTGGTCCTGGACAACAGATGGAGCTTATAGCCCTGGGATGGGCCTGATGCAGCCACCTACACTGTCATGTGCTGCCTACATAACTACCCTAAGGGATAGGCTGAGGAAAGCCGTGTGATATCCCTCCACTTCTGTATTAGTTATTTTTGTTGCTGTGATAAACACCATGATCATGGCAACTAATAGAAGAAAGAATTTATTGGGCTTATGTTTCCAGAGGGATAAGAGTCCATCATGTTGGGAGGCACAGCAAGAGACAGCCAGAATAGAAATCTGAGCACTCACATCTTCAAGCAGGCACAGGAAGCAGACAAAGCAAACTCAAAGTGGGACAAAGCTATGAACTCTCAATGCTCACCCCCAGTAAAATGCTTCTTTCAGCTAGACCACACCTCCTGAAAGTTTCCATGCCCTTTCCCAAAGAGTGCCACCAAGTGACCAAGCGTTCAAATACTTGGAACCTATGAGAGACATTTTCATTTAAACCACCACACCTTCTTGGCTTCCTTAACCCTTAGAGTGAGGGAACCTGTGCCACAGCTTCTTCTGCTTTTAACAACGCCTCCTTTGCAAGTCTCTCGTCTTCGACCAGCTTCTTCCAAAGCCCGGCAGGCTCTACCAGTGATCCTTTAGTGCTGCCATGGTGTTGTTTACCCAGTTCAGGTCTACTCCAAGCTCTCTCCTGACCAGAATTTCAAAGGTGAGACAGAACGTGAATATGGTAAACTTGGGTATTCTGAGGCAGGTTTGCCTATTTCTTTTTTATATATAATTTTTTGTAATTTGTGTGTGTGTGTGTGTGTGTGTGCGTGTGTACACCAAAGGAGGGGTCAAGTGTTTCCTTCTATCAGTTGACGCCTTATTTTTTGACACAGAGTCTCCCACTGAACTTGAAGCTCGCCATTGGCTGTACTGGCTCGCCAATGAACTCCTGGGATATGCCTGTCTCTGCCCCCTAACACTGAGGTTACAGGCACATTTAGCCATGCCTGGTTTTAACAGGGTGTGGATAGCTTTTATGTGCTGGATAGCTTTAGTGTCAACTTGACACACCTGGATAGAGGGAGCCTCAATTGGGGAACTGCCTCCATTGGACTGGCCTGTGGCCATGTCTGTGGGGCATCTTCTTGATGAGTGATGTGGGAGGGCCCAGCCCACTGTGGGTGGTGCCACCCCTGGGCAGGTGGGCCTGTGTTGCATAAGAAAGCAGGCTGAGCAGGGGCCAGGAGAGCAAGCTAGTAAGCAGAGTTCCTCCATGGCCTGTGCTCCAGCTCGTCTCCAGGTTTCTGCCCTGAGTTCCTACCTTAGGCTCCCAGATGAACTATGACCTGGGAGATGTAAGCTGAATAAACCCTTTCCTCCCCAAGTTGGTATTGGTCAGAGTGTTTTGTCACAGCGATGGAGAAACTAGGACAGTGCACTAGTTACCTTTCTGTTGCTGTGATAAAACACCATGACGAAGGCAACTTATAAAAGAAAGAGTTTATTTGAGCTTACTGTTTCAGAAGGTTAGAGTTCACAATGGCAGGGGAGGCACGACAGCAGAGGTGGGCCAGAGCAGAAAGCCAAGTGATAATATCTCCAAGCAGGAAGCAGAGAACCATTGGAAATCTGACAAGGCTTAAGAATGCTCAAAGCCCCCCACCCCCCAGCGATGTGCTTCTTCCAGCAAGGCCATACCTCCTAAAACGTCCCCAAACAGCGCCACCAATTGGGTACAAAATGTCCAACTATTTGGAGCTTATGGGGGACATTATCATTCAAATCACCACACATTAGTCTAGAGATTTGAACTCAGGTCTATTGTGTAACAGTATTTCTGGGGAGGCATGAACAAACACCTAATCACCCCAGCTTAGGGAACTGACAACAGATGAAAGTCTAACTTGCTAAACCAATGAGTTTTTGTCCTGGTTACCAACAGGAGTATGGGTGAGGGGTTACTTATAAGAGCCCGGATGACTCAAAAGGAGCTGTAATACCAAAATCCCACCAGAGCAGGAGTGAAAGCTGTAAATTGGATGTTCACTTCACCCTTGCAGACAGCGACACAGACTGAAGTGTCTCTTCCAGGCAGCGCAGTTGATCTGAGCCCCTTAGAAGCAGCTTGGCCAGTCTCTGCCTCGTCAGAAGTCCCCACTGGTTCTATAACCTTGGGGAGGGTGGGGCCTAGTGCATCTGGTCAGTTTCAGGGACATTCTGAGGCTTCTGAGCTACTTACATTCTGAGTCTTAAATAGCATTCTGTCAGAATTTCTTGAGCATTTAGAATTGAGTCTTAATGAGCTTAGTAGGAAATTGTAACACAATAGGGTCTTCTTGCATTCACAGCAAGTGCTCTTACCCACTGAGACATTTCCCCAGTCCCCCGTTTTCTTAATAATGTTAACTGCATTTTATATATCAATATGTTTGAAAGTAATAGGAGATAAGAGGTCTCCATGCCCCAAGATTCCAACATTGTCTTATGGTTTCATAGTAGCCCAGCAGCTGTATAAGGAGTCAGTTTTTAAAGCAGAACATGAACTCTTGTGACAGGTTAATATTTGCTCCAACAGAATCAAGTTCTGTATTCTTAACTCAAGAATTCTCTATTTCAATTTCTTTCTCTGTTTATTTTCATGTCCTTTGTCTGTTTTTAACCTTGATGCAGCACTGAAATTTAGCTAGAAAAAATCCAAAGGCCTTGAGACTGTTAATTAGAGAGCCTGTTCCAGGACTCTGTTTTCTTGGCCCCTCACCAGGTAGGCAGCCCACTCTGATCCCAGGTCAAGTACACTATTCAAGACTCTATTCAAGAGGCTGGAAAGATAGCTCGATGGCTCAGTAGTTAAGAGCACTGGCTGGTCTTGCAGAGGACCCAGGTTCGAATTCCAGCACCCACATGCTGGTTTACAACCGTCTATAACTGCAGTTCTAGGGGATCCGACACCCTCTTCTGACCTCTGTGGGAATTGCACAACATAGGTACACCTACCTACATACAGGCAATACACTCAAACACACACAAAAAAAGTAATAAAATAATTTTTTAAAAACACTCTATTCACATTTTTTTAGAATAAAAAAAATGTGATGTATTTTAGAAAAAGTTACCTAGACTGCTGAAAAGAATGTATATTCCACAGCTCTTTTAAGATGTTTCATAGCCATCTACTTATTCTATGTTGTAATTTAAAAAAAAAGTTAAAACCTCATTCAATTTTATGTCTTATAAGGGTTATACTGAGTTCAATACTGTATAACTGTATTAATTTAACTGTGAACCTCAAATTTTACAGCTAATTTTGAAAGAGAAGCATCTTTGCTCTGGA